ATATATATCTGGGGAGGGGAGGGTGGCGTTCTCGGAAGAGGGGTGAATCACTGCTCGGCACATGAGATGCGAGCTGGCGTTATGCATGCATGCGGAAGACGACGATAATGAAGCAGTGCAACGGAGATCTCCCAGCTGACAGGTGAAGGGAAAGTTTCTGTGGACGATATGCGCATGGAGGTTAGGTATTTTTTTTTTTTTTTTTTTTTTTTTTTTTTTCGCGAAGGCCGGGTGCGACCAGACGGCGTACAGAGTATATTGGAGTGGGATGGATGTTTGGGGGGGGTGGAAGAGAGAGCCGGAGCCGGAGCCGTAAGTGTGGATATATGATGTGATGTGATGTGATGTGATGTGATGTGATGGTTGCATTGGACCAACCGGGTGCTCCTGGGTGGCTGGGTACGACCATGGGTTTGGCGATGCGGAATCCCGTACTGAGAGTGGGGGGGGGGGGGGAGTGAGGAGCTGTCATGAATTAGAATGTACGAAGTACCACCAGTCGAGTCGGGTCGAGTGCAGTCGAGTCGAGTCGAGTCGAGTCGAGTCGAGTCGAGTCGAGTCGAGTCGAGTCGAGTCGAGTCGAGCCCAGTCCAGTCGAGCCCAGTCCAGTCCAGTCCAGTCCAGTCCAGACCAGACCAGACCAGACCAGACCAGACCAAGGCAAGCAAGCCTAGAGGGTAGGTAGACCGACATTTGGCTGCGGGCGTCACACGAGTGACGACCCCGACCCCGACCCCGACCCCGACCCCGACCCCAACCTGACCTGGAATTGAGGCCTCAGGCTCCTGGAGTATCGCACCAGGTGACCAGACCGTGATGAGGTAAGCCGGCCTGCTGCCTTGCATTATGATGCGATCGACCCTGATGTCTTGGAGATTTCGAGCACTTGAGCCCTGGAGCCCTGGAGCCCTGGAGCCCTGGAGCCCTGGAGCACTTGAGCTCTCGAGCACTCGAGCACTCGACCCTTCCTTCAACTCTCCGACTCTCCTCTCCATCCATCTCTCGACTTTCACCGCCGGAATCACCTCACATATATACATCTAGACAAACATACATACATCTACTTCTCCTCCGCTACCATCTTAGATCACGGGCTAACAATTGACGTGCATTTCACTTGACCGCACTGCGCTGCACTACATCGCACTGCACTCACTCACTGCACTACACTTCACGCCTATACCCGACCGACCGTATACTGGCCCAAGCCCTCCGCCCTCCCACCCTCCACCCTCCACCCTCCACCCTCCACCCTCCGCCCTCCGCCCTTCCGCCCTGCCCCCCCCCCCCCCCCCCGTCCATCCTCGACATAGACAAACCGAACACAACCTCTTCGTTCCTCCAATAAATCACCGCTTCACTTCTCCCTCCGCTGTGTCTCGTTACTCAAACGCCTCTCCCAGAATCTCTCCCAGAATCTCTCCCAGAGCCTTTTCAATAAAGATGTCTGCCGTCTGAGCTGTCCTGCTATACCCCCGGCTCTCTCCTCCCCCCCCCCCTGTTATGTACCTGACTGGGCTCACCGGAACCGCCTCGATATTCCCATCTGCTCGTCGCCTGCACACCGAGAGAGCAAATTCCAACTTAAAAAAAAATCCCCCTCCAACAACAAAAAACATAAAAACATAAAATCAAAAAAAATATAAAAAAACCCCCCGGCCAGAATACGATGGATGCCCAAATCATGAGTTATCCAGGTTCTGATACACTCGCCATCTAGCCAGCCCTCCGAAGCACCGCCCGTCCACATTGCCATACGGGTGAAAAGCAAGAGCTTGCCTCGAGCACCATCGGTGTGCATCGCTGCCAGCTACGGCACAAAAAACAGCATACCCACGCTCGGCGGAAACTACAACGCACACCGTCACGAAATGCATCAACACCCGCGCCGGTCGCCGGCCACCGCCTCACCAGCTTCCTCTCCCCGGACGAATCCCACGCGGACGAACAACCCCAGAGAAGAGAGCTCGAGCTCCAGGTTAGCAGCAGAAAGGGTGGGAAATGACGAGGCTGATGAAGGCAGTGGGGACAGTGGTGTTATAGCGGCCAGCGGTCCAAGTCGAGATGTGGTGAAGAAGCTGGATCAGATCATTCAAGTACGTTCGCATTCATCCCTGAACCTTCGAGGCTGGTGTGCTGATACGGTGGGGAGCAGAATTTCCACTCGAAGGCTGCCTACCTGGTTCTACAATCCCGGGTGCCCTTACCCGTGGTGATCACCAAAGACGGGACGAAGAAGTTGAACAAATGGGTATGCATGTTCCGAGGCCCCTCCAAAATCTGATCGCAGACTAATCGCCGAGGCTCCCAGTTCCAAATCGAAACCGACGACACAAGCGCCTTCAAGGACGATCTGAGCTTGTGGAAGACGTGTGGCGGGTACCAAAATCGACCTCCACCTCTCGTGATAGAGAGCTTCATCGACACCTCGAACCTCACCACGAACCAGAGCCTGGTAATTGTTGACGATCAAGGGAAGAGATGGGATGTCCTAGAGGCTCTGAACACCCCAAGCCGAGCAAGAAGGAATACAGAGGTAATATTAGAACGGTGGAAGATCGAACTTAAAGATAGTCCCGGGGAGAGGACCCACGACTTTGGCTCCACACTGCCCACTGTCTACAAGAAGTGCATTGTCTTCTTTCGCTCGCTGTATGCGACAACGAAATTCGTGCCTGCATCGAGATTTGTAAGGAGCCTGGGGAAGAACGGAGCAACAAGCAACTCGCTTCGGGTCAAATGCCGTATTCTGTCTGGTAATGCCCAACGCGGTCGATTCGATGCCCTGACCCAACCCCTCAATGGGAGCGGAGGCCCTGTTACCACGCAGTATGAACTCGGGGCCACCGAGACACCTGTAGGCCCCTTCTCTGTCGAGGTTGAGTACCGACATGATTGTAATTTCCGCGTCGACGACTCCGAAGCGCTTCTCAGCTCCAGATTCATGGGTGTAGATGAGCATTTCTTCCAGCCATCCTTAGCTGCCCGAGGAGACCATCGTCGCGGACCGGCCCAATCCGAAGCCGGATCTCTACCCGCGCACCGACAACACCGAAGAAATGAACCCCCCGAACCGATCCAGGCTTACGGCAGTCTCTCCACGTTCCACGGCGATGCCCCTCCACGGGGCTCAAGCCCCATATCTGCTCTCCGAGCCGCCAAAACCATGGGGTCGGAAACGAGCTCTCCGAGTTCAAGCTCGGCTCCCAAAACCAGACCCATGCAAACGTCGAGGGCTTCATTGATCTCATTGGAAGGTGTCCAGACAGCCCGAAGACCCTCGGTGTCGTTTCAACCGTTCAAAGCAGGCTCGCTCTCTTCTTCACCAGGTGTGAATAACCCACTGCAGTATGGGAGCGATGCTCCCCCGCAGTCGCCCCAGTCCCTGCCACGAGGATCTGGAATCAGCGCGTTGACGCAGGCTCGCAACCGCTCTTCTCTGACGGCGGGAATGCCCGCAAGTCTCCGCGGTGGCCCTGTGATACCGTCTGATAATGTGGTCGCAACTTCTGGCTCGAGCTCACCGAGGCCTGCTCCTTTGTCCAAATACAGCAGCAGTTTCACGCATCGGCGTGGGAGGTCTTCCTTCAGCGGTGCGAGCAAGATGGTCGATGATGATCAAGGGAGCAGTGGCAAGCACAGCTTTTCGTCCTCCGTCCAGCCGGGATCCGGGATCCTGGCGGATCTCGGCGCAGCTGGCGGAAGCTCCGAGTCCTTGCAAACCGACGATGACAATATCTCGGACTTTCTGAAGCTGTTGGACAGTAACAGGAACCTACCGAGTTTCGAGCAGCCGGGCGAGGCTGCAACGAAGCGAACAAGTGCCCGGCTTCTCAGGTATCAGGGGATGCGGGAGTCGAACAATGTCTTGACAGAATCCCTGACTTCGTCAGTCATGCTGCATCGATCGTCAAGTTCCTCGAGCCGTCACTTGTCCAGCGTGCCGCCCATGGTTGCGGCAACTTCGATGTCCGTGTCTTCATCACCTGGGAAGCCAGTGTCGCCGCACACCCCCCACACACCAGCTATCCCCTCGAGACTGAGTGCCAATGCCACCGCGGACTATCCTGAGCCTCGGAGACTCAGCTACCGCACTAGAACAGCACCCGCCGCGCCGGTCGAGAATAGTGTGGACGATGACCAGGCCAACGAGCTTGGTACGAATGCGATCGACATCCCCACATCGCCGCGGACGTATTTCCCACATGCAAGAAGATCCAGTTCGGTAGCTCAACAGCACCGAGGGGAGGACTTGAGTGATCTCCCGTACGGGGTTCATCGTAGTGTTAGTCTTGGAGCCGATGACCGGGAGCCACCTAGTATGAGCGCTCTCTTGGGCCTGGACCCAGCCGTTAGAAATGTTGCATCGGCCTCGTCTCCGTCGCCGTCACGCCTCCTGCAACCTGCACCTCGCATGACGGAGTCCTCAGCGGCCATGTCTCGCCAACCGTCGTCGTCCTCACTGGACCCGCCTTACCCGCACGATGCTGAAGGTCCGTCCCTCCCGCGAGGTGTGTCTGCTGGGTCTGCAAGATCGAGGCTCTTGGGCCGGGCACCTAGCGGGCGAGGCGCGACCCCTCCAGCCGCTTCGTCATCGAGTCTCATCGAACGAGGCAGTGGGAGCGGTACGAGTGAGCGAGCCGGTGGCCGACATAGCTATAGCAGAGTAGCTGGATCGTACGAGCCAGACGATGAGCTCCTCTTCGACATGAGTGAACTCGGAAGAGAGAACTCGCGGAAAAGTCTAGAAGAGAGCCGCGGCGGAAGCACTGGGTTGGGAGACAGGGGTGGATATGATTCGCAGCGAGGAGGTGACTCCGGCTCGAGCAGTCGCCGAGGCAGTCGGAGGGGCTGGTAAATGGACGATGCAGCCCTGCTCTCAGGTCGGGAGCGATCCTTGAGAAAGATACATTTGCTATAGATGCATTATACGCCATCTACGAAAGTTTTCACATGTTGCACAGCGCGTAATTGGACCTCGGCGGTGCAGGAGGCCACAGGGACAGCTTTCTATCCTTAGCTCACACTGCGCGAGGGGTTTGTTTTCTTTTCGGCGTTACCCTGGCGATGAAATGCATATGGGGGGGCCTTGGTCAAGTTTCTCAAATTGATATTGGAAGGACAGGATTTGATACCTTTGACTTGGAGTTTACAAGAGGCTGTGCATAGGCGAACGATGATTAAGATACATCCGATGAACTTGACCGTTTCTCCACGTACATCATCACGTCTGATTTCTGAGGTGACCCAAGCGAGGACTAATCCGCAAGTAAACAACAAATCAAGAATGTTGCCAGGAGACGGGGGATTTGCACGCCCTCTGAGATGGTATCCGAAGTTAACAACCCCGGCGAGCCAGGTAAACAATGCATGCAATGAATCAATGAATGAATTGTCTTGTCCACGACCTGCAGGCAGCCCTGGGGGCAGAGAGGCCCCGTCTCCATGAGGGGAAGCCGAGGGTCGGACAACCTCCGGAGCGTAAGGAAGCGAAGCGGCAGCTAGTTACCCCACAGCATCACGACGACCACCTCAGATCACGATTCTCCATTGCCGTCTTCTCTGTCTTCGGTTCCTATCTCGAGTCGATCTCTTCTCGAGTGATCCTTTGAAGACAATTGAAAGAAAAGCTCTTCCAGCTCTTCCGGCTCTTTGAGACTTCCATTGAGAGACGAGACAAACCGCTCGACCCCGCCTTCTTCGACGACCCTGGAGCTCTACTCAATTTCCAGCCCCCTCTATCCTCAACGCGTTGAAGATGTCTGCCGTGAGAGTTGCGCCGACGGTAAGCAACGAATGGCACTTGCATTTCGGTCTACACAACCGAATCTGTATCCAGAGATGGGTTTCTACATCCCATGAATGGAATGCTAAACGGCGTGTCAACAGCGGGCAGCCAAAGCCCTCAGCCTCCTCCGCACAGTCCAATACACCCACCCCCCGTCCTGCCCCTGCCACGGTAATCCCTCCCATCACCACCACCACCACCACCAGCCATCATCTGGTCTGCTCTCCCACGCCAAACGCAATCTGCAGCGCAACTATGCCACGCCCGTCGACCTGTCTCGCCAGAAGGAATATGCCTTCGAGATGGCTGCTTCGTCAATTCGGTTCGGCCCGGGGGTGACTAAGGAGGTCGGCATGGATTTCAAGAACATGGGCGCGAAGAGGGTGTGTGTGGTGACGGACAGCGTGGTGCGGAATCTGGATGCCATGAAGCAGGTTGTGGAGGGGCTGGAGAGGGAGGGCGTCGAGTTTACCGTTTACGATCAGTGTCGGGTCGAGCCGAAGGATAGCTCGTGAGTCGCTTCCCCGGTCGACTCTCTCGCGTGGTTTCCACGCTGACCCGAAGACGTAGTGTTAAAGACGCCATTGACTTTGCAAAGCCGTACGCACCGGACGCGTTCCTGGCGGTGGGCGGTGGATCGGTCATCGACACGGCGAAGCTGATGAATCTGTACACCTGCTATCCGAACGCCGAGTTTCTGGACTTTGTCAATGCGCCGCTCGGAAAGGGACTTCCGATCGACAAGCCTTTGAAGCCTCTCATTGCGGTCCCGACCACGGCCGGCACGGGGTCCGAGACGACAGGCACCGCCATCTTCGACCTGGTGTCGAAGCGTGCGAAGACGGGCATTGCCCACCGGAATCTCAAGCCAACGCTAGGCATATGTGACCCCCTGAACACGCGTACGATGCCCTCGGCCGTACACGCAAGCTCCGGCCTGGACGTGCTCTGCCACAGTCTCGAGAGTTGGACGGCCATCCCGTACTTCGAGCGTATTCCCCGACCGCAGAATCCCATCAACCGACCTGCCTACCAAGGCGCCAACCCCATCAGCGACATCTTCTCGCTGCAGGCCCTGCGAAGTACGGTCAAGTATCTACCCAGGGCTACGAAGGACCCGGAAGATCACGAGGCTCAGAGTCAGATGCTCCTAGCTGCGACACTCGCCGGGGTAGGCTTCGGCAACGCGGGCGTGCACTTGTGTCACGGTATGTATCTGCCTATCTATTCCCACGATTTGATCGGATCGGTATCCGTCTCCGCTAACCACTCCAAACAGGCATGTCCTACCCCATCTCCGGGCAGAACCCAGGCTACAGACACAAAGGCTACCAGATCGACACTCCCATCATCCCGCACGGCGTCTCGGTCGCCGTCTCCGCGCCGGCCGTCTTCCGCTTCACGGGCCCCTCTAACCCAGAACGCCACCTGCAAGCCGCCGAAGCGTTCGGTGTCGACGTCTCGAACGTCAAGCAGGAGAGCGCCGGCGAGGTCTTGGGCGAGGCCCTCGAGAGGTTCCTGGCGGAGCTGGGAGACCAGCCCAAGGGGTTGAAGGATCTCGGATTCAAGAGGGAGCACCTGGATGATCTCGTGGAGGGGACGCTGCCGCAGGCTCGGGTGTTGATGCTGGCGCCGGGGCTGGCGGAGGAGGTGGGTGAAGAGAGGGAGCAGTTGAGGGAATTGTTTGAGGTAAGGGGGGGGGGGGGGTTTCTCTCTTTTTTTTTCTTTCTCTTTTCCCTTCCTTCTCTGCTGAAACAAACATATATATTGAGAGTGTTTCGTGTACTGACTGTTTTTTTGATTAGGATGCCATGGAGCACTAGCGAGATTGGTTCGAATGGGTGAGAGAGCGAGAGAGGCCTGGTATATATATATTTACACATTTAAATATTTATATATCTATGAATGGAATGTATGAATGATCGATTGGGGTTTGCCAGGGCTTCCTTCTCCTCGTGTGTGTGTGTGTGTGTGTGTGTGTGTGTGTGTGTTTTTTTGTTTTTTTTTTTTTTCAACCTCTTTTTATCGAGTTCCCTGCTTGCTTGGTTGGCATACTTAAGTCCAACCAAAGCTAGCTAAGCTAAGCTAAGCTAAGCTAAGCTAGTTAGTTTAAAAGTTTACCTAGTTACGCTGACTGCGTATCGGGTGTCGTCGGTCGATATTGACTCTTGTCGCTTAGCTGGCTGATTGAATTGCTTGCTTTACTGTATAATCGATTAGCTTTGGTTGCTTTTCGATTTATATTTCGATCTCGATTTTAAATTTGGATTTAAATTTCCATTTAAATTTAAATTTCAGCCGCGAGAGAGAGAGACTATTGGTCATCGGAGTAACGTAGTAGTACTCTGTTACTCTGTCAGTTTGTTAGTTTGTTACTCTGTTAGATTATTAGTGTGTCAGCTTTATTTACTCGCTTGAGTCGATTATCTTATTATTTGTTACCTATTCCCTTTTTTTTTCTTTTTTTTTCTTTCTTTTTTTTTTGTTTGATAGGTATGTATGATGAGATGAGATGAGATGAGATGAAAGATATATATATATATAGATAGATAAT